ACATTGATTACTGCAAAGTCTATTGCTTTATTTCCAAAATGTAGGGAATACATTTTGGAAATAAGTGTATGTTGTTTTGGTCTAGGAGGTATGGAGAGGAGGTGGCTATGTTCAGATGGGCTCAGGGGGCATCAGGAGGGGGCATGATGTGGTCCTAAACCAGGTTGTGTGTTGGGGGAGGGGAGGAGGTTCACTGGGATGAGTTTGGTTGGAGGAGGCGTTGGCCTCACTGAGACTGGAAAGTGTAGGTCAGCCTGATCAGCAGCAGCACGAACTGCCTGGTGGAGATCCTGGATGTGGCTGAAGTCAGGCGGGACTCATAGACAGGCTTTGTGCAGGGGATGGTCGGTGACAGGTACGTTTGGGGCCATGAGAATGAAACACCTGAGCCGACAGTGAGGGTCTGGAAGAGGCCAGAAGGAAGAGGCCAGAAGGAAGCTGATGTAGTCACACCAACGAGCTGTCCGGGGTCTTCACCTGAGCTTGTCTGTGGGGAGAACTGGTTCACAGGAAGGAGAATCAGGAGCCAGAACAGTGGGATTGGTTCAGTGTGTGAGGGGGGCAGAGAGGATTATGGAGGGCTCGTCCTCTCTCCACCTTGGCTGCCTGCAGGAGCCAATGGGGCTGTGCCAAGGTTGCTGACCCCAAGAGGCGCAGGAAGCCTGGGGGCTGTTACAACACTGTCAACTCACCCACAGAGGCAACCAGCACTGCCCTCCAGGCCTGGGTGTGTGCTGCTGCTTCTCCCTATTGCTTCCTCTCTCTGACTTCCTTGTCTCTGTGAGCAGAGCTCCTGCTCTCCATCCCTATCCATCAAAACTTCAGAGTCCTTTCTGCCTCCTTACCATCTCTTTGTCTTATGATGTTTATTCCATCTCTATGGTTTGGGCAGAAGAGCACTTTGGAGGCCAATCCCAGGTTGTAATCTAAGACCTGGGGCATGTTTATTGAACTTCTATTTTGAGCCAGTCTCTTCTCCTCTACCTCTTTTCCTGTTTGGCAAAATTGTGAACCCTCACCTCTGAGGTCGTTATGAGGATCGGCAGTGACTGAGACATGAAGGGCACCAATCTCGTGTCATTTTCTTTCTTTTTTAATATTTCTTTATTGATTTCAGAGAGGGAGAGGGAGAGATAGAAGCATCAATGATGATCAAAGAATCATTGATCAGGTGCCTCCTGCAATCCACACATTGGGGATGGAGCCTGCAAACCAGGCACCTGCCCTTGACCAGGAATCAGAGCATGACCTCTTGGTTCATAGGTCAACGCTCAACCACTGAGACATGCTGGATGGAAAATCTTGTGTCATTTTCTGACCTGATGAAGGCATGTGTGTGAGAGACGTTTGCTGGGAAGGGCTGTTTGGAAGTCACATGTGTGTTCCCCAAGCCTACAAGGTGAATCAGAAGCTGTAGTGCATCCTTGGTTGAATGGCAGATGAGTGCAGACAAAAGGATGCAGGGATGGTGGGTCTCAGCCTGGATCCTAGACTTAGCCCAAGTCAGGAGTGAAGGTGGAAATTTCATCAGTGGGTTGGTCCCTAAGCACTAAGGCACTTAGGGCACCTCTGACCTGTTGGGAGTCCTGCTCCCATAAAATTCCACGGACACAAGTGGGGCAACCTCCAAGGTATAAGGGAGCTGTAGGGAACCATGCGTGTTTCACTTGCATTTATTTGTATTGAAGCAACAGTCACATAACATACAATTGAGCCTTTTAAAATATGAAAATCACAAGAGTACAGTAAATACACAATGTCTCAATGACAACGTCTATCTAGTTTCAAGAAGTTTTTAAACTCCCCACCCCCCACCCCAAAACACACACACACACACACACAAAAAAAAAAAAAACAACAACACCAAGAGTCCGTCTCCCATCTGCC